GTGACCTTTGCAAGTTTCGGTGACGCGAGTTTTGCATCGGAGAGCCAGATGAAAGCCCAGCAAGGTGTGTTCATTGCAGCATGCACCAAGGAACTTGGTGAAAATAAGATATTCGAGATATCACCCATAGCATGGCACTCAAAGCAAAACAGCAGAGTTGTTCGGCCAACCTTAAGTGCAGAGGCATGCGCAATGTCATCTTCGCTAGATAAGCTAACATGGATTAAGTGCATGTGGGCAATCATAAAGGATGGCAGGTTCAAGCGGCAAAAAACCGAAGTTTCGCTACAGGCCGAGCCTAAAGGACTTTTGATAACGGACTGTAAAAGCCTTTATGACCTTGTGAATAAGATGGCAACACCTAATTGTCAGGAATGGAGAACCACCATAGAAGTGATGCTCATCAAACAACAATCATCCGAGAACACAGAGTGTAGATGGATATCTACGGCCATCATGCTGGCAGACCGAAGCCAATGGACTCTTCGTTCTTGAGAAAGGTGCTCGGTCTGGGCAAGTTCAGGATATATGACGACACCAGCTCGTTGAAGGAAAATCCGGACAAGAAGTTCAGTGCTAGATGGGTGGAGGCATTCGGAGAAACTCGGCCTCCTGATAGCTCAACAAGGCCGAATGGAGGTCGGGCACCTCCTGGAACAACTCTGTGAGCTCATTCTCGAAGCTCTGAATTTTCAATGCATCTGCATCGCCTGACTTTGCCAGTTGGTCCAACTGCTCATAGAAAAACTCCTCATCTTCCAGCTGGGCTGCCAACACGCTTTGGTCAGTGAACTGTGGGTCGTACGAATCGGTCTCGGAGTTCTCGTCCACATAGTTTGTTGGGTAGACCTTTTTCTTCTCTGAACCAGGCCCTGAAAGAACACTTGTGGATAGGCTCCTCATCGCATTCGCTACGGCCTCTTTCTCAAAGACCCCATTGGTCGTGGTGAGGAATCTTCTTCTTGTCCTCGTGAGTCAAATTGCTCTGCTTTAACAATACGAATGCAGTCACTGATTTCAATGTAGTGTCCTGACCCACTTACTCGAAAGCAACGTCCGACCGATTCACAAAAGACTGTGTACTCTCATCTTGCTTCTGTGTTGTACGGTAGGTGGCTTTCTCAAACAATTCAAACGTCTTCAACTCAGCGCTTTCTTCCCAGGCCGACAGTGCTTGTAACAATGTCTTGACTCCATTCTCGGGATTGGTTAGGAGTTCCGGCTTGATGTTCCTGACTTGATGCCAAGCCGTCCCTTTGCAGAGCAGCGCAAGTCGAGGGGCCAACATTGGCCTGTCCTTCTTGGGACATATCCCGCTGAGCAATCTGACCTTCGCGATGTACTCCTTCACATCGTCATGCCCTGGATCAACACTGGGTAGAAGAGTCCAAATCGCATTGTTGGACTTATCGTCCGAACCGGCAGCTTCAGAACCCATAGCTTTGCGGATGCCACACCCGAGCTAATGGGCTCCGCTACCAATGTGCGTGAAATCCTTCCACCCACAAAGGTAGCCTCCTCGCCCCAAACAACCAACCTAAGGTCCTACCAAAATCCTAAAGCATGGTGGTCCACCACCCTCGCAGTGCGCGCACCTTTTCAGATGCGTCGTCCGTCCTGTGTCTGGTGTTCTGTTGAGCTCATTCGAAGGTGGTCGATCGGTCGAAGCACGAATCAAATTCACATATACGTATATATATATATATATTTTATATCTACACGTATATATTTTTACCCTTTATACTTGAGGCCGAGGGTAGGTGACGAAAGCTAGCAGGGGTGCATCCGGACTGGTGGGACATCAAGCGGAGTGAGGCAAATGCTCATGAGGTAAAACGTTGTTAAATTTAAGACACACAAACAGCAATGACACAGCCAACCTTAGAATTGAAGTCCCCGATAATTAAGGAAGCGTGGCTGGACTTTGCCACACTGTTCGATGCATCCGATGTGTTCACGAACCTGTGAGCTTGTTGAATCTGTTGCACCGTATCCCAAAACCTCCACGGAGGAGTTGAACCAGTGTGGATGCCATAAGAGGTGCCCAAGAGGTGTCCCAAAGGCAAAACAAAGCTGCTTGCATGATTTGTTTGGTTTCTTCTGTCGATGTCGATGTCATGAACATGTGAGCTTGTTGAATCTGTTGCACCGTATCCCGGAGGAGTTAAGCCAAAGTGGATGCCACAAGAGATGCCCGAGAGGTGTCCCAGAGGCGTCCGAGGGGGGAGTTGAACCCACGGGGGGGGGGGGGGGGCCTACATATGAAGTTTTCACGTGATGCGGCGATCCCGAAGATTCCAGCCCCTCACTTGCTAAAGCAAGGACAACTCCAGCTAGCTGGTGCTAGCTTTCGTGATAAATGCATATACACATGTCGTCCTACCGACTGAATACCAGCGTGAACTTGTTTGGGCGGCTTTGGATGTGTTCTGGCGGTGCTCTCTATATCTTTACGTTGCAGAAATGCGATCCGGTGCTCTCTACATCTTTATGTTGCAGAAATGCGATCCAAGTCAGATACTTGGCTGCTTGCTGTCCCAAGCTTCTGTTGTATTGGAAGAGCTCCGCGGATGCAAGACCAAAGGCCTGCACAACTCCAACCATTTCAGCAGCAGCAGCAGCAGAAAGGAGATTTCCAACAAAGCCTCTTAACACACACCACTTTTTGCCCCGCCAGCTTCTCAGCTCTCAAAGGTCGATGCTGGAAACGTTTAACCAGAAATTGCTTAAGTTGCACAGCTGACAAAAAATCCGGTCACACAAATGCCTGGATCAAAGACGAAAGAAAGCGGTTGAAGAACACCGTCCATTCTGTGCTCGGTCATCTCCACTCTGCTGACATCGGCGCTCTTGCAGAGGTGGGCGCGAGGGCGGATGATTAAGCTAGACCCGGTCAGCACATGGCAAAGGCCAAGCTCCAAACCAAACAGCATCAATTCCGTCATCTCTGAAAGGCCATCATTGGTACAACATGCCAATAAGAGCCGCCAAGTCTGTTCCGTGACTTGTCAACGCGTGGCCGCACTGTTGGGTCCCAGACTGCGCCGTTCAAAGCCTCATCTGCTTTGAACTTGATCGGAGTGTTGGCCTGTGAAAGAAGTAAGGCTCCCTGCAGGCTGACCGTGTACGCAAACAAGCATGGCCCAGGCTGGCCATATGTGAGCTGTGGCAGCTGTGGCTTGCCCGACTTATCACCAAGATTGCTCGACTCCTTCCCTGGGCACCAGCCCCAAAGGATCACATCAAACGGAGGGATACTTTCTGTGACCGTGATGGCGGTGACACGAGAAACAAAGTCATCTGCAAGGGTCACATTGTCCTCGAAAATGGTTGCACAGGCCCACTTTTCAAGCAATATTGTTTCGTAGATCTTTCTGTGGCCGAGGGCTTGCACCAACTCTTTCGAAAGGCCTTGATTGAACTCTGGCTTTTGGGATGGCCAAAACCGAACCGAAGCTTTGAAGCCAGCCTTTTCAATCTCCCGGGTCGTACGATCACGGCCTTGTTGCCCTTCCGAACCCTCAGAAATCAGGACATTCACGTGGGCTAATGGGTCGCACTCGGCCTCTGGCGGCAGCTCCATGAATGGCTTCCGGCGGTCACGCTTGAGAAAGTCTCCATCGACAAACAGCTGCGTTGGACGATCGACCAGGTCTCCACCTTGCCGCACCAAACCTGCCAGCTTTTCCTGTTTGCCCTTCGATCCTTCAGTCCCGTCCTTGGACATCTCGCCTGAGTTTTCACTTGGGAGCGTGCTTGTGCTCTGCGAAGTTTTTGCAATCAGGAACTTCTGCTCGTGGTGCTCATCATGGTCCAGTCGACTCAATCGAGCCCGGAGCTGTGTTGCACTCACGATCTGAGGAAGAAAACTCCCCACGAAAATGCCAAAACCCAGAACGAGGAACAGAACAAAATAATGCCTCATGTCGCATCTTTGCGACTGTCATTTGCATCTTCCCGTAATCTACAATGGCCAGGCTTGAGCCATTGGGAAACGGAACGAGCTCGATTTGATTACAGTAATTCATTGGCCGTTTGATTGCTGGATCGATCGGGCACAAAAAGAAGAGAATCGGAGAGGCACGGTACTGTATGCGCATACATATATATATATATATATATATTCTTGCGTGTGTGTGGGCACGTATCTCGAGAGAGAGAGAGATTTAAGAAAAATAGATAGAAAGAAAGAAAGAAAGAGATGAGGTAAATACAGTATAGTCAAATACAGTGATTGACACACACATAAATGGATAGGTCAAAGCTTGCCGTCATGCTGTGCAACTTGTCCTAAGGGCGTTGGTCAACTTGAGCACATGTTCCACAAATCGACGACTATCAGATTATCAAGAATAATCTCCTCCACGGTCTACACACACGCAGACAAATCACTAGCCAAGAAAAGGCCAATAAGCAGAGGCGACTAGCAGGAAGGAGAGGCGAAATATGTCCAGAAATCGCTTGTGGAGCAAACTGAGATAAGTGCGAGGCACGAACCTATGTTCAAGTCCCTAATCTTTGTCGTGCTGTCCACACATCCCATTGTGCCTCCAGCAAGACCATGGCGAAGGCCCTACCAAACTGGCCTTGAGCTGATAGCTTCTCTGAACATTATAATTACGTGTGCACTTCAAGGTGCCCCAACACGAGGCCAGTTCATGCGTGCTCTGCTCCCCTCTCTATCTCCCTATAAAAACTCAAAATGTTAAGCAGGGTGCAAAGAAAGTGCAACAGCCTTTGGGTGAGTCACCCTCGAGGCATCTCGAGGCATTTCTTGCCACGGATTCTCTGTGCGATTGTGCCCTGGCTTGGCCATGGCTGATTGTCCCGCTTTAAGCGAGACTCTCGCCAAATCACTAACACGGGGCGGGCCAGCCTTCCGTCCGCCAAGCGCGGCTGAAGACCACAAGTTCCCACCATCATATGAACGCCCAGCGCATGGGGCTAAAGAAGGCAAAATGCAAAACAACAAGCAGTATGTCACTTACAGTATGTCCCTTTGGGTGTTGCTACAGGGTGTTATGCATGTTTTCCTTCATCGTTATCTTCATCATGTCAAAGACCTGTACAGACTTTAGAAGCCAAGATTCAAGACCATTAATCCATTGATGCCTGTGACCTGTTCAAAGCTGCGTCAGTGATCTCACCCTCGTCCATCACTGTTGTGTGCTTCGTAAGGCGTCCATCCATTCCTCCCTGGTGTGCGCGGATTTGGTGCAGTCAAACCTGGACAGCATGCTGTTGCCAAATTAACTTCCACGCGCATTGATTGGGTACTCCGACTCCTACGCGCCTGTATTCTAAGTGTTAACATCTGCGGCAGAAAAATACTGTTGGCCAAGGGGCTCAAAAGTCCTCTGCGCATCGCTCATGTCCTGCCGCCAAGATAGCAACTCCGAGAGCGCAAAAAACAGCATGTTTCGGTGGAAATACCACTATATACTAGTAACCAGAAGCTACTAGGTGGAGGCCATCGCTATTAGGTTGGAGGCCATTACTACTGGTAACAAGAAGCATGTTTGGGAAATACCTCTTGCTCCCGAAGTGGGAAATCTCTGCTGAGCACATCAGGCCACATGTCTGCTACACAGTGTCACGCACTTAAGCGAACACGACAAAACTTGTATATATATATATATGTGTGTATATATATATATGTGTGTGTGTGTTTAACCACATTGTTGCTTGGCTTAAGTTGCTGAATAGTCCAGCTGCCACCCCCTTGCAGCTCACATCTCAGGCCTTCAAAGATCCTTCCTGCCAGGTGTGAATTTTGTGGGAAAGCTCCAGGTGCTCACATGCAGCATGATCGATTTAAATCATCATTTGTTGCAAGTCTTGGAATGGGTGGTCCAATCTCACAGAAAAGAACACTCATCTCTGCAGGCCTGCCATTTGCCGTCAACCGATTCAATCGCAAAGACCAAAGGATTCTGCTCATCTGGCATGATACGCGCACGACTCACCTTGAAGTTGATGAAACCTGCAACCACTTTGTGCAAAAACCTCGAGCTGTGATATGCACAGCATGTGCAGGGAACATCACACATCTAAGAAAGAGGTAAGGCTCTGGGAACGTGCCTCACCTTGTATTTTCATTTGTTTTCCTCTTTATTCCGACGACCTGCAGTACTCTCTTGTAGGGAGTGAACCTTTGCACCCTTCAGGATCAGCATGGCTGAAGACCTCGTCCGCAGGAATGTCACGGTCCCTCCTGTCGTCAAGCAGGTGTCAGACGACACAACGAATTGCAACCATTTACTTGAGCCTTCACTGGAACGTGCGCCTCCACCAAATGAGACGACCCTCATGAAGAACAAAGTACCTGCCGAAAAAGTATACTGATGTAGATGCAGATATGGATAGACCAAACATCTGGACAAATGGACAGGTGGACACATGGATCGATGGATCGATCGATGGATGGATCGATGGATCGATAAATAGATAGATAGATAGACAGACAGACAGACAGACAGACAAACAAATAGATAGATAGATAAATAAATGATACAGTATATTAACACCGCCTTTTACAGTATATTAACACTGCCTTTTCGAACATCCCAACCCTTATGATCTGCCTCCAGTCCCATGACTTCAGCAAACGAGCACCAGGACTCTTCTTGTAAAGGTATCCGCCTGAGCGCCCAAAGGCAAAACATGCGTGCTGTTTTACAATTGACATTCACAAATATTTGAGAGGCACTTTCCCGACTGGAAGGTTGCAATCTCCGTGGACTTCGCAAGTTGTACAAGTTATGTAGGTGCCGTGGGCACCTTTCGGCCAAAGCAGATTTTTCCAGGTTTGCACCCTTCCTGCATGACCACATCTGGCCTACCTTTTATTGGACTCGAGCCACGCCAGCTGATGATCCACTATAAATACCTTGCTTTAGTGGATCACCTATGAGGACCAGTCTTTTTGAAGACTTGCCACACTGTTAGTCTATATACTCACATCACTAGTGGTGTAAAAGTGTGCTGTGAATACAATCTTGCGCTGAGGGGGGCCATGCTAGAAAAGAAGCTTGACTGGGACTGGTTTACCTGCATTCATTCTGCTCATCTCATTGTAAATAGCAAGGTGGGCGGCCTCTCCCACCAAACATAGGGCCGATACGATGACTTGGTCTAAAGCAGAGGCCATTTTAGGAAGCCTCCAAGCCAGTCCGCCGAAAAAGCGTTCTCGGTCGCACACATCCCGCACCAAGTGCAATCAAAGTTACGCAAATTGCGCATTGGAAGAGGAGCCTCAGCCACACCGGCCGGGGCAAGGAGAATCGGGTTCAGGCAAAAATAATGTAATGGCCATACTGAGTCATCCACCGATGTCTTGGAACCTTCGCCCAAAAAGGCTTCAATAGTCCCGGGTATGTCAGTGCGCGCATGTTCGCAGTCCGAAGCTGACACCTTGCTCCTTGCCTCCTTCAAGCTGCTTCCAGCTCGTTCCGGTTCGTCGCACGGTTCTTCTGTCATTGCTTGCGGCTCTTTCAACTCGTCCTCGGCCACCGGAGATGGCTCAGCCTCAGCCTGGCAAGGCTCCGCTGGCTCAACTGCGGCCTCCTTCAGCTCGGGTGATGTCTCAGTGGTCGGACCTGCTTCAGAAAGCATAGCTGGCTCCGCTTCTGGCAACTGTGGAGCCTCTTCCAGTTCTTGCTTCTTTGTGATTACCTCCTTCACTTCCAAAACCTCCTTGACTGTTTCCTTGACCTCCTTGATTCGCTCTGGGGATCGCTCTGGTTGCTGATCTGCTTTTGGTGGATGTGGATATCCCTTGGTCTCAGCAGCTTCGCTCTCAGCCTCACCTGCCTCCTTGCGGCGCTTCTCCTCCAAGCGTCGCTTGCGAGCAGCATCATTGTTCCGCGTGAGTTGCTTGTCAATCTCCCCGCGAAAATAGGCGTCTGTCACTGGATAGCCCAGCTTGCACAAACTGGGATTTGACTTCAAAGCACGCAAAAAGGCCTCAGTGACCAGGCGGCCATTAGCAGTGTTATTGCACCGCAGCTCCTGTAGAGCTTCGTTCACGCTGGTGCCATTGGCGATGGACTCCAAGGTCAAGGGTTGGATCACATTGGTGTCGATGTTCAATACCTTCACAACATTTCACAACCCATTGTGCAAACCGCATCCTGGACTTTTGACTGAGTGCCTTGAGAGAACGGTTGGAGCGCAATGACACGGCCAGGATGGCAGCCTCCTGGTCCTGCAAATTAGTGCAACCCATCAGCCTCAGCAAAGAGCAAGAATGAATGAACCACACTAAATGAGGAGCAACAAAGGTCCGACTCTCAGATGCAAAAGTTGTCAGAGTCAAGCAGCAGGTGCTCAATGTGCGTATTGCCTGGGTCAATCAAGATGCATTACGCTCCTGCCCAACGCCAACGCCAATGCAAAATGGTCTCTTTGTTGCGTATTTTCCTCGCAAACGGTGCACCCTGTCAAGAGCTTACTGAATCAGAGACAAGTTGCTCTCCATTGCAACTGCTAGCTTTGGAGAGATCAACGGCTCCACATTACCTTCTGGCATCTTCAAATTGGTGAAATCCTTAACTCAACTGCGTGGACACAATTGCATTCTCAAGCAGCATGCCAAAGCTTCTGGCAATAGTTGTTGAAGACTGGAGCCACCAAACCCGCCAAAGGGGTCATCCCTTCATCTTTGCGACTTATATAATCTACAGGGCAAGCCTGTTGGAACAAGCATCGAATTTGACCAACGTTGGGTCATCCAAGTGGGCACGATGGACCATCCAAATCATCCAATTCCCAAGTTTTGTCGCTTTGCTCGCCTTTGCCTGCAGAGGCTGCGCGTCCAAAGATATGCAAGGTTCCCGCTGCAGGTTTGCCGGCCACGAAGGACATGGCAACGAAAAAAAACAGTTTGTTTGGCCCAGTTCCAAGTCCAAACAAGTGTAAAATCAGAGGGCCACAGCACCCTTAAAGGACTGGAGACCGTGGAAGGCAAATGGGAGACAAGTGTAAAATCATGCGGCCAGAGCACCCACAAGGGACTGCACACAGTGAGGGGCAAGTGGGAGACTAATGTAAAATCATGCGGCCAAAGCAGAATCATGCGGCCAAAGCACCCACAGCGAACTGGAGACAGTGGGAGCCAAATTGGAGACAAGTGTAAAAATCATGCGGCCAAAGCACCCACAAGCGAGTGGAGACAGTGGGGGGGTAGTGCAAAATCATGCGGCCAGAGCACCCACAAAAGACTGGATACAGTGGGAGGCAAGGGAACACAAGTGCAAAAATCATGCGGCCAGCGCACCCACAAAAGGGACTGGAATGAGAGACAAATGTAAAATCATGCGGCCAGAGTCCAGAGCACCCACAACACAAGGGACTGGAGACAGTGGGAGGTAAGTGGGAGACAAATGTAAAATCATGCGGCCAGCGCACCCACAATGGACTGGAGACAGTGGGGGGGCAAGTGGGAGACAAGTGCACAAGAGATTGGAGACAGTCGAGGGCAAGCGGGAGACAAGTGTAAAATCAAGTGGCCAAAGCACCAACAGGAGACCGGAGACAATGGGAAACAAGTGGGGACAAGAAGGAGACAAGTGTAAAAATCATGCGGCCAAGGCACCCACAGCGAACTGGAGACGGGAGGCACATGGGAAACAAGTGTAGAAATCATGCGGCCAAAGCACGCACAAAAGGGACTGGAATGAGAGACAAGTGTAAAATCATGCGGCCACAGCAACCACAGTGCGGCAGGAACGCAAGCCCGGAGACAAATGTAAAATCATGCGGCCCGGTCACGCACCCCTTTCAAAGGAGCAAGAACCCCTCACAAGTAAACCTGTTTGAACGAGGTATTAGAGAAATTCAACCGCAAAATATTTGTTGAAGGCGATGGCAAAAAAATCATTGTTCGAGCTTGCCACCTCACTTTCGAGTGCTTGAAGCTCACCGGGCTGTTGGCATGCCAGGACACGCCTAGGCTTGCAACTGCCAGGAGCCACCACTGCCGAGGTGTTGCAGGCCGCCCCGTTTTGCCAACAAAACTTGAAAACTTTTGCCTGCCTCACACACTCTCAAATGCCTGCACAAACAATGCGTCTAATGCAGTTCAAGAAGCTTCACAAAGTCCTGTCAGGCAAAGCGGGCAGTTGCACTGGCAGAAACAAGCAACAAGCATAGTTTTCTGACTGGCTAGGTCCTCATCATAGCATTCAGCCCAAGCGTCAGCGGCCTTTTTTGCCTGCAAGGCCCACCGTGAAGAAGTGCCAAAACGGTTGTGAAAGGATACGCAGTCGTGTCAGGCCTTTGGTGACAAGCGTTCCTCCACTTCCACTACTTGCACTGCCTCCACCTCCGCCTCCGTGGCACCCGTTGCCTGTTAACGAAATGGAGCAAACACCACGCCAATTGTGCAATGGAATCGCCTGCGCTTCTATCTGCAGCACTGCCTTTTGCAAATCCTCCCGGTCGATACCTTGATTTGACTTTCGGTCTGCACAGTCAATTGGAACTTTCACACATGTGCCCGTGGACAACACCTTGCACATTGCATCATCAGCAGTGGCAGGATAACAAGCGAACTCTACAGTTTGTGGAGCGAGGCGGAAAATATGCCAACGAACACATATCAGCTCCAAATTTGCCGAGCCGAGTTGCTTGACCGCCTTCGGGTGAAGCTGGCCTCAAGGGACATCTAAAAACGTCCCAACCGCAGCGACCCGGAAACCTTTGGAACTTCAGCAACTCACATGACCTCATTTGACATACAGGACAATAACAAAACATGACGTAAGAAAAAAACAACATCGCAGGACACGCAGAAAAATATTCTGATCTATGACAATGCATGAGGATGTATTCTTCAAGAACCTCCGCTGCGTTTCCCCCACCAGCAAGTCGTTTGAATGGGTCAGGTTGCAGTTGAATTGCAAGGAACTGATTGACAATTTGCAAGTCCAAGGGCACAGGGGGTCAAATAGAAAACAACAAATAAACACAAATACCTTCAAACCTTCCCGGTCCCTACATGTTTTCCGCATGACTCTTCAAGACCGAGAACACAAGACACTGCCAGGCCGGCCAGGCCCAGCCTTTTGTTCATCTTGTGCTTTCTTCAAACACCATCCCAGGCCCATATCCTTGGCGCAGCTGCGCCATTCACAGGAACATGTAACGCACATCAAGAAAAGTCGGCGCCTCCAAAACTTTTTCGATCGTCTCCTCGGCTCATATTGCCGACTGTTGATGAAGCACGTTTGTTGCCTTTGGTTTGGGCAGCAATTGCAAATCCATAACACTGACAGTTAACAGTTAAATTGTCTTTTGGCATTCCGAGCGTCGCAAGCTTCAGTGCAGGTTCGAACCTGGCTAGTCTTGGTTCGAGAGCACGCACTGCCAAGGACAACCAGCCCAATCGAAATCTAATCTCTCCGTTTTCCCTTCTGTCATTGTCCAGCCACGTCCCGTCACTGAGGACACAACACGCTGGTCGTTGCAATTCATGTCAGACAGCACCACTTCGTCGAGAACCGTGCGTATCCGAGCGATTCGTGAGCAATCCCCGCCGAAAATGTCCTTAGAACTGGCACTCGCTTTGATTTTGAATGGGCCTCTTTTTTGACACAACCCCGGAAAACATGTGTTTTTACATGAATTTCCCAACATATTGCCAGCTGTGTGGCTGCTAACTGTTGTCGGTTTTCGCTGGTTTTGGTGACCATCATGTTCATAAAATCTCGCGCATCCTCCAAATTCCTCAGTATAGCAGGGGCACTGGCAAGAAAATTCCATAATTCTATGGACAGCCCAGCTGCTTCAAATAATCAAGCTCTGCCATAGGGAGTTTGACCTTGCTCGTTTTATACAAGTCAACCTTCCCCGCCGTGGTCTCCATTTTGCCTCGGCTGTCCGCGGCAAATCCAAACTATGACACTAAAACATTGTCTTGAGCTGGTACTGACCCTATCTTCCTCTTCTCACTACAGTGTGACACGCCAGCCAAGACTCAAAGGATCTCATCGATTTTCTTTTCCATGGCGCCGCGATGGAGCTTTCACGCAGTCCGGAACCAAAACGCTTGCAGGAGGTCGTGAGTGCCAACCCCAAAGCAAAACCAGCAGAGCACGTGCGAAGTGTAACAACTTTGACTACCGCATACTGTCACAACGTGCATCCCCCGACTCTGACACTTGTATTCAGTTAACTCAGTTCCCCGAGGAAAGGAATGATGAGTCCGATCATTTGAAGATGTTTGAACAAGTGGTTTGTGCACAACTGCGGCGACAAGCTGCAAAAAAGCGCGGCTGCTGAAAGTGGCTGAGAAACCTGTTTGGGGGGAGGAAGACATGAAACACCATGAAAACAAACCAAACGATTGGACAGCGTGAGCAAAAGTTAAAAGTGCAGGTACACGGGGATGATCAGTCCCCGCATCCTGGTCGACTGCATGGAGCTTCGTTGGCGACAGCCATGCAGCGACCCTGTCGCCCCCTGGTTGAGAACCCTTTGTCCAGGGGTGGACACACACAAATCGCCGGCTTCGGCGCTTTTCAAAGAACGGTGGCGCACATACTGTGCCGTTTCGCGGCGCGCATGTGAAAAACCTAAATAGTCACCTAAAAAGCCTTAGAAACAAAAGGAAAGAAAGACAGAAAGAGCAGCGCTAAGAGGGGAAGAAAGAAAGATTGGTGTAGAAAAATGAAAAGGTGAATACTTAGCCCTTGACTGGGGTAGGGAAACGAACCTCAAGAACAACCTAAAAAGCCTGAAAGAAAGCCCAACAAACGACGAAAAGCGCAAGAAGGAAAGCGGGGGGCAGGGAGGGGGTGTATGTCCATGTGTGTGTACGTGTGTGTGTTTGAATACCTAACACTCTAGAATTACTGAATACTTAGACGAGGTGAATTAGGTGCACTAGTTAGGGAGCGGGACTTTAGTCTTAGACCGCCCGGGTAGGAAGGACTAGAACAGGAACAACACAGGGAAAGGCACCGACACACAAGTGTGTCGAGTACCATTTCCCTATGTTGCCCTAAATAGGTAGGGAGTAGAACACGCCGGGGGGGGGGGG